TTGTAGCCAGCGTTTGACCACTATTTGAAGAAGGTCATGAAATTCAAAGACTTTTATCAGCCAAATAAAATCCAACACTTGTAACAATGTACCTATTTTTGGCTAGATCACCCAAAGGTTTTGTTATCTGCATTGGCGACAAAGATAATACAAGAAGGTTCTTCTTTCAACATCAGTTGCAGTGCAAATGCTTCCCCAGTACCTCATGTGACCTGGATGAAAATATCACCCAAAAAAAGGTTTGCGGTCTCTGAAACAGTAGGCTTGAGTTTCTTAAAATTCATGGAAATCGAGAGAAACGAAGGTGGTACTTATGAATGCCAGGCAACTAACAATCCAGTTGAGCCTCCAGTGACCTCGAAGATCAATATTTTTGTGATTTGTAAGTAACGCTGTAACCAAGTTGCTTATATTTGTTTGTCAATGTCATCGCCATCGTCTTTGGTATCGTCATCGTCATTGCGACATCACGTACGACATCGCCATTGCTTTCGCCTTTGCTCATCGCCACTGTTTATTCTCGCTACGCATTAGTGGTATTAAGCCACTTTAATCAAACGCAAATTGTAAATTTTCATTAATTCTTCGTCAACTAAGATAGTATTTCCTTTTAACATCACATTAACAAAAAACGTGTTGATTATAATATATAAATCAGCAAAAAAACGTTTATGAGTATCATTTCAACCGTGCGTGCAATTAATGAATAACATATTATTTATCTCTTATGACATATGGCTTTCATTCTCTGAAGATTTTGAACACTCTTCCACACTTCTTGATAAGAATGGTGAAGCACAGATAGTTGAAGGAGAAGACCTGAATATCACCTGTGCAATAAGTCCAATATGGCTTGACAATGTGACGTGGGTACATGTACCCACACACGAGTTCCTAAAGTTGGGAAGTGTTAAAGTTAACAGCGGCACACTGGCCATTCGGAATTTTTCTCGAAGTCAACAAGGGAAGTACCAGTGCCAGGCTTATGACAAGAAAGATGGTATTTTGGGAATAGCGAATGTTTTTATTAAAGTAATGTGTAAGTACAAACGCAAAGTTTGCAGTTTTAGACACTAATGTTTTTATATGTCATCCTTCAATAAGCATTGCGATTATAGATAAGATAATTCAATCCTGCTCGTGCTAGTTCCATAATAGCCCAGACGAAGTGTTTCATTTTATTTTATTTCGTTCGCTTTTTCCCGTGACAGCAGGGGCACCATAAAAGCTTTTGTCATTAGTCCCCTTCACAGTTCCCTGCGCCATATTGAAAGGTAGCCATG